AACAATCTTATTTTACATATCAATCCCAGTTCCTTCTCCCTCCCATCCTCCCATGCCCCCCACCGACTCCCTTATCCACTCTTCAGGGAGAGTAAGTCCTTCCATGGGGGATCATTAAAGTCTGTCACATCATTGAGGGAAGGGCCTAGGCCCTCCCCCATGTATTTAGGCTAAGTGAGTATCCCTCCATGGAGGAATGGGCTCCCAAAGATCATTTGTGGACTATGAATAAATTCTGGTTTCAATGCAAGAGGCCCCATAGACTGCCCAGGCCTCCTAACTGTCACCCACATTCAGGGAACCTGTTTCCATCCTGTGCTGGTTCCCCAGCTAACTGGCTGGGGTCCATGAGCTCCCCGTTTTTCAGGTGAACTATTTCTGTGGGTTTCCCCAGGATGGTCTTGACCCCTTTGCTCATCACTCCTCCCTCTCTACAACTGGATTCCAGGAGTTCGGCTCGGAGCTTAGCTGTGGGTGTCTGTTTCTGCTTCCATCAGCTATTGGCTGAAGGCTCTAGGATGGAATTAAAGGTAACCATCAATCTCATTATTGTGGAAGGGCATTTAAGGTAGCCTCTCCACTATTGCTTAGATTCTTATTTGGGGTCATCCTTGTGGATCTCTGAACATTTTCCTAGTGCCAGATTTCTCTTTAAACTTATAATTGCTCCCTCTATTATGGTATCTCTTTTCTTGTTCTCCTCTATTCTTCCCCTGACTCAGTCTTTCTGGTCCCTCATGTTCTCCTCCCTCCTCCTTTTTTCTCCTCCCCCCCCCACACTGTGCTCCCAATTTGCTTAGGATATCTTGTCCCTTTCTCCTTCTCTGGTGGACCATTGCATGCCTCTCTTAGGGTCCTCCTTGTTTCTTAACTTCTCTGGAGGTGTGAATTGTAGGCTGGTGATCCTTTGTTCTATGTCTAAAATCTATCTATGAGTGAGTACAAATTATGCTTGTCTTTCTGTGATTGGGTTACCTCACTCAGGATGGTTTCTTCTAGTTCCATCCCTTTGCCTGTGAATTTCAAGATTCCTTTCTTTTATCTTTTCTGCAGAGTAATACTCAATTGTATAAATGTACCACATTTTCTCCATCCATTCTTTATCTAGGTTGCTTCCAGGTTCTATTATAGACAATGCTGGTATGAAGATAGCTGAAGAGATGGCCTTGTTGTATGAAGGTGCATCCTTTGGGAATTTCTGGATCTTGAGGTAGACTGATTCTCATTTTTTATGAGAACTTCCAAACTGATTTCCAAAGTGACTGTACAAGTTTGCACCCCCACCAGCAATGGAGGGGTGTTCCCCTTTCTCCACATCCTCTCCAGAATAAACTGTCATTGGTGTTTTTTATTTTAGCCATTCTGGCAAGTACAAGATGGTATCTCAGGGTTGTTTTGATTTGCATTTCCCTGATGACTAAGGATGTTGAGTACTTTCTTAAGTGTTTTTCAGCCATTTTAGATTCCTCTATTGAGAATTCTCTATTTAGTTCTGTACCCCACTTTTTAACTGGATTATTTGATGTTTTGGTGACTAGCTTCTTGAGTTCTTTGTATATTTTGGAAATCAGCCCTCTGTCAGATGTGGGGTTGGTGAAAATATTTTCCCAGTCTGTGGGCTGCCATTTTATCTTGTTAACTGTGTCCTTTGCCTTACAGAAATTTCTTTATTTGAGGAAGACCAATTTATTAATTGTTGATCTCAGTGTCTGTGCTACTGGTGTTATGTTCATGAAGTGATCTCCTGTACCAATTTGTTCAACGGTATCTCCCACTTTTTCTTCTAGGAGGTTTAGTGTGCCTGGATTTATGTTGGGGTCTTAGATCCATTGGACTTGAGTTTTGTGCTTGGTGATAGAGATGGATCTATCTGCAGTCTTCTACATGCTAGCATTCAGTTATGCCAGTACCATTTGTTGAAGTTGTTTTCTTTTTTCCATTGTATAATTTAGCTTCTTTGTCAAAAGTAAGATGTTCTTAAGTGTGTGGGTTAATATAGGGTTTTCAATTCGAGTCCATTGGTTTTTTGTACTGATACCAAGCTGTTAAGCTGTTTTTATTACCATAGCTCTATAGTAGAGCTTAAAGTCAGGGATGGTGATGCCTCTGGAAGTTCCTTTATTGTACACGGTTGTTTTGACTATTCTGCTTTTTTTGATTTTCCATATAAACTTGAGTATTGTTCTTTCATGGTCTGTGAAGAATTGTGCTGGGATGTTGATGGGGATTGCATTAAATCTGTAAAATTGCCATTTTTACTACGTTTATCCTATCTATCCAAGAGCATGGGAGATCTTGCCGTTTTCTGGTATCTTCTTTAATTTCTTTCTTTAGCAACTTAAAGTTCTTGTCATACAGGTCTTTCACTTGTTTGGTTGCAGTTACCCCAATATATTTTATGTTGTTTGTGGCTATTGTGAAGTGTTATATTTCTCTGATTAGTCTATTAATAATGGGTTAATTAATTAAAATAAATGGTTGTATAAACATGGTTTGTCAATTTGCAATTTTAAAGTTGTGATGGGGCTACATATTTTTTCAGTTTGAAACCAGCACTTGGATTATTATCCCAGGCTTTTATTTATTTACATATACATTTATTTATTTAAGATTTTGTCCATTTGTGATATGAGAATTTGTGCCTATTCTTATTGTATCTTGTTAGGTCATGTTAGGTGGATATCCCTGAAAGGCTTTTTCTGGAGTTTGCGTTTTTGGGGGTGGGGTTGCAAAGAAGGAGTTGATCTGAAAGTGAGGGGAGGTGGAGGGAGGTTCTGGGAAGAGGGGGAGGGATAGGAGAAGGGGGAAACTGCAGTTTAGACGTAATATATGACGGAACAATGAAAAGTTTAAGAAGGATTTATTTCATTTTACATGAGTGTTTTGCCTGTATATATGTCTGTGTTCCGCTTTCACGCTTGGGTCAGAGAGGGCAATGGATCCTCTGGAACTAGAGTTACAGACGGTTATGATCCACCATGTTAATATTGGGACTCTAACCACTAAGCTACCTCTCCAGCCAATATCCTGGAACCTAAGAAAACAAAAAACAAACAAACAAACAAAAAACAAACAAAACAAAACAAAACAAAAAACAAAAACCAGAACATCACAGTGCAGCTACTGTAGATATTTGTTGGTGGGAGGAGAATCAGATGTTTGACTCTGGCAATTGGGATGAATCTATTCCTTTACTAGATTAAGCTTTTAAAGAAGAAAATTTGTGTAAATATCAGACATGTGTTTTATTGTGTCATATTCATGGGGAGGTTTAGGAGGGCTATAAGCCACTAACTTCTGAATTGTTTCTATACATGCCTGAATGTATGTACGTATATGTGTGAAACAAAAATGTGAACTTGACAATATAATTGTGCACTGTTTTTCCTCACAATAATCTGAGTGAGAGTAGCAGCTTTCTATTTCTCTATCAGAAAGCTGATTTTAAAGCACTGAATTGAAACACTTTGATAAAATCATGACACTGGTCACCAGGCCAAATCACTACCAGAGACACCAAAGCTAAGACTGTTGAGTGGAACTGTAAAAGCTGTCTGTGTATTGATGACATATGATAACACTGGGGACCTTGATTTCCAGTGCATGGGAAGGAATCTCCTTTAAAACTGAAGTTCCCAAACAGGGTCACTATATGGTCATCTTCAGCAAGTTCATGTTTGTCGCAATGTGTTGAAAATAGTGTTTGTCTTAATGTCACATGTTCTCTCTTGTTGGAGGCTCTGAGCTTCACATCTTCAGATTACATGATCTGTAGCAGAAAAGTAAAAGGACAATTGCCAGGATAGGGGTGGGGTGGTAGGGAACAATGGAGAGAGGACAAGTAATAGATGGTTACAAGCAGTCTGGTCAGGGAGATATGAAAATGGAGCTCCTTAGGGAAGGGGATGGAAAAGAAGGTGGGAAGAAGGTAAAGGGGAATGGTAGGATACACAACATCCAATCAAGTAAAGGGGGCAAAGGGAGCTCGTTGGGGAGCAAGAGGGAGGTGGATCCAGAAGAAGGTAGGAGGAGAGTCAAAGGTGATAGCCGGATACAATTGATCTAAGAGGAAAAATGGGAACAGGGAGGGGCCCCTTCACAGGGAGGTAAATCCAGGAGGTAGGTAGGTAAAATACAAAAAGGATGACCGAAAAAGCTATAAGGGATCATGCCATTAACCATTTACTCCCCCCACACCCCCCACACCACCAGGAAGGTAAAATAGTGTTTGTCTTGATAACTGGGGGTCAATTCTTTAAACCTGAGGTGAAGTTCACAAAAGTTTTAAATGGGATGGGACATAAACGGTGAGACATCTAGGATCACTTATAACCACACTGGTTATATAGTTAATAGGGTGAGGCAAGTGTAGTAATGGCCTCCTATTATATCTACGTCTTTAATTCTAGATCCTGGGGATGTAAGATTTCATGCAAAAGGGGACATAAAAATAGATGGATTGAGAATATTGTGGACTAAAATAGTGGGATTATCATTCATGAATTTTCATTGCGATTTCAATACAATTATAAGTCAAAACATGAATGGTTGCAAAATATAGCTTATTAAAATTATGAAATATGAGTCTGACTTGCCTCACAGTTTTGGATTTATTGTGTGATTTTTCCCAGGTCAATATAATTTTTATTCGATTGTAGAAATGTTATTAATATTCTGTGTTTGTCACTACTATATTCACTGTTAACTATAGAATGAAACAATGTAAAGCAATAGGATTGGATTTCTAAGGAATGAAACTTAGGTGCTACACAGGCACAAAGTATGCATTCTATATACAATGTGACTGTATTATCTCTAGCATGCTATATATACAGGTAGATACATGGAGAAGTATATAGAAATGGAGGCTATGATATACAGTCTGGAACATCAAAAGTTAAAGATACAAGTTAATCAAGAATAAGTAGGTAAAGCAGAATGATGATAAAGACATACTGACCAGTGAACCACAGTTTAATGTCTATTATTTTTCCAGGTATATGAAATATGCTTCAACTATGATGTTAAGGTGAATACACTTTCCATATATGTCCTCATTGAAGAATGTCCTTTATTTCCAAGCTGGACTTGGAGTCCTAGCCAATATGGTTCTCCTTTTTTTCTACACTTTCCTAATTCTAGTTCATAGAAATAAGCCCATGGACATGATCTCCTGTCAACTGGCCCTCATCCACACTGTGCTGGTCCTCACTGGAGGGGATATTGGGCTTACAGATGTATTTGGATCACTGAGCATTGACAGTGACTTCAAATGTAAGACAACTTTTTACATAAACAGGTTGATGAGAGGCCTCTCCATCTGCATCACCTGCCTCCTGAGTGTGTTCCAGGCTGTCACTATCAGTCCCAATACCTCTTTGCTGGCAAACTTTAAACTTAAGCTAAAAAAATACATGACCTATGCATTCTTCTACATTTGGTCTCTCAACTTGTTATTCAGTAGTAGGTGGATCTTCTATGTTGGGGCTTTTACCAATGCAAGTGAGACCAACCAGATGAAGGTCACCAAATCCTGCTCACTCTTCCCCATGAACAGCATCATCAGAGCACTGAGTTTAACAGTGACAACCTCCAGAGATGTATTTCTTGTAGGAGTTATGCTGACCTCAAGTGGGTACATGGTGATTATCTTGTTCAGACATCAGAGGCAATGTAAGCATCTTCACAGCCTCAGCCACCCTAGAGCATCCCCTGAGAAAAGGGCCACCCAGACCATCTTGATGCTGGTGGTTGTCTTTGTAGTTATGTACTGGGTGGACTTCATCATCTCATGCACCGCAGTTCTGTCATGGATGTACCACCCAGTCATCCTGACTGTTCAGAAGTTTGTGATGAATGCCTATCCCACAATTACTCCTTTTGTGCAAATCAGTTCTGATAAAAGAATAATCAATATGCTGACAAACTTGTGGTCAAAGTGCCACAAGATTTTTAAAAAGGGGTAATTTTTCTCTTCTTTAAAAAAACAATTCATTAGCTGGGCCATAGTAGAGCATGCATTTTTTCCTAGTGCTTGGGAGAAGCAGAGGCTGGTGGATCACTTTGAGCTTGAGACCAGCCTAACCTACAGAGTGAGTTCCAGGACAGGCTCCAAAGTGACAGAAATAAACCCTGTCTCAAAAACAACAACAACAACAACAACAAAAACAAAAACAAACAAAAAAACCAACCAACCAATGAAAAACCCCAATTCATTTAGTTTAATTAATATGCATGAGTGTTGTACCAGCTTGTGTGCTTGTGTGCCTTCCTGGTTCCCACAGAGGCCCGAAGAGGCCACTGAACCCCTGGAACTGGATATGCAGATGGTTGTAGTGAGTCATGCTGGTGATGCACCAATATGTTTTTTTCCCTAAAAACAGATTCTCCTTAAACTGTATAAGAGTTCAAGTAGCAAAGCAAGATTGTTCACGTGACTGAAATAAAATTTTCTTGTATTACCTATGTACTTTCTTGTGACATTTCTGCTGCCCAGTGCTATAGATTCCTTTGAGTTCATTGTACACCATAAGTTGGTATTTCCACAGGAATTCTCTTACTCTCTTCTTTTTCACTTTATATTGTAAATGTTCACTTGATGCTGAGGTTATTGATATAGACTGTGTCCTAAAATACAAAATAAATCTTTATAAATTCAAAAAGGTCAAAAATCACTCCTTGTATCCTATTTGATCACAATGCCATAAAACTTGAAATGGACAGGACACAATTCTCTAGTAAATATAAAACTCATGGAGATTAAACAACTCACTACTGAATGATGATGCATCAAAGAAGAAATGAAGAATGAGATAAAAACTTCCTGGAACTAAATTAAAATGAAAATACAATACAGCAAAATCTCCGGGACACATTGAAAACATTCCGGTGAGGGAAATTTGTAGCTCTAAGTGTCTACATTAAAAAACCAGGAAGTGCACCAATAAATTGCTTAATGATGCAACTCAAAACTTTAAGTGAACAAGGACAAATCAAAACCAAGTGTAGTAGAAAGTCACAAATAATAAGTGAGAGCAGAAATCAATGAAATAGAACAAAAAATAATATAAACAATCAATAAATATAAGAGCTGGTTCATTAAGAAGATAAACAAGATTGAACAGATTCTTGGACCAATTAATAAAAAAAACCAGAGGTCCCAAATTAACAGAATCAGAAGTGAACAAGGAAACATTACAACTGACCAAAGAAATTAAAACATTGTAAAAGATACTTTAAAAACCTATAATCTGTTAAAATGGAAAACTTAAAAGAAACAGATGAATTTCTAGATGCAGCCAAACCATAAACATTAAATCAAGAAGTCAACAACAAAAGCAGACCACTAACAAATGAGATTGAAATAGTAATAAAAATATTCCAGTTAAAGAAAACATCCAGGGCCAGATGTATTCACAGTAGAATTCTAAAAGACTTTCAGAACAGATCCAGGGCTCGTCCTTCTCAAACTATTAACAAAAGAGAGTATAACCCAGCTTTACCATATATTTGCACATGTCACAAGACTTGACATCCTACTCCGCAGGTACTTGCCCCAACACATTCATTGCTTCCATATTCACCATAGCTAGGGAATGGAAACAACCTAAATGTCCTTCAACTGAAGAAATGAATGGACAATGAAAAAGTGGTATGGGATAGATTTAATATATCCCAAATACTGTATGGGATGCAATTTAGGCTAAAAGCAAATAGTCAGAGGATGGAACTAGAGAAGATCATATTGTGTGACGTAACCCAGACCCAGAAGTATAAACATTCATACAAACATATTGTCTCCCATTTGAGGTGTAGTTCCTATTCTTCAGATATGAGTATATAACCTGGAGCAACTACAGAAATCATGAAAGGAGAAAGGGGCCATTGCTAGGGCCATTGCAGGGAGAAATAGTGATGGGAATACCAGGTTATAAGTTATCTGAATGATGAAACGGGAAAAGTGAGGGTCTCTGATTGGGGAAGGGGAGGGAGATTAATATAGAAGATGGAAGAGGAGGGTAAAACAACAGTAAGGATGTCTGAAAAAAGAAATACTATTCACTGTCTAACCCCTCCTCAAAAATAAAAAAAACCCTATAATGCATGTAAATCTATGTATAAATATAGATATAATTTAAATGGAATTTTCTTATCTGAGCTGGCATTGTTCCCTCCAAGAGCTATAGACCTCTTAACAAAACTCCCAACATCAAGCATGAGAAACCTTTCTTCAATTGTTGGTCATGGTTGTCTAACAGACTCCTCAAACATTACAGACTATTGCTATTGCCCTTGGTTGTCCCCCAGATGTGGAAGGGAAGCCCCTATTGCTGAAGACACCATGCACTTACTTCATACACGGGCCCAGAGGCCTCTGAACTGGAACTGATTTAAATGTTTACTCCTTGAGGTTACCTTGAGGTAACCATAAGTTACCATGCTAGCCTCTAAAGAAGGGGATCACCCACCAGTCCTACCCAGATATGACACTTATGAGTCACAACAATGACCAGAATTGCACAATGAACCTAAGGGAGAAATACTGGCACACATACCTTTACGTTAACCAACAACTCTCTAATTGAACTTATGGCTCACCCCAAGAAAAGAAAATCATGTTTTGTATTGTGAACCTAACCAACTCCCCAGGGCTAGCAAATTCATGGATTTTGGGGGACAATAGACAATCCCTAAGTGCATTTTAAATATTTGTCCTCATGCCCATAGATAAATTTAGTCCTCTCCAGTCATCTGTGGTAATATATTATTTTTTAATAAAGCTTGCTTGAAGAATCAAAAAGCAAAGCCAGCCACACACTAGTTTGCTATAGAAGCTAGGCAGTGGTGGCCCACGCACCTTTAATCCCACGGCTCAGGAGACAGAGGCAGATGGATCTCTGTGAGTTCAAGGTCTACACGAGAGTGAATCAGTCTAAAAGAGAATCGGCTCACACATTTAGTACTAGCACTAGAGAGAGTATGAGGAGCTCAGTGCAGCCTCAGAGAGCAGTCTGAGGCTTGGTAGAGAGAATGCAGTCTGGAGATGCAATCTGAGGTTCAGTGGATCTCCCTTTTAATCTGAGCATTGGTAAGAGGTGAGAACTCTCTATGGCTGGCTGATTTGCTGTTCTGATCTTCAGCTTGAACCCCTATATCTATCTCTGGGTTTTTATTTTTCGTGCTATACTCATCACAGAAACTTCTCTTTGCAACAGATGGCAACTACTATAATAACCCCACAACTAATCAAATTCCAATAGATACATCTATAAAATAGCTTCTACACATAAGGCTCAGGGGACACTGGACAAAGGGGTGAAAACCGTGCAAGAACAAGGAGGTCGGGGAGTTTTCTTCGAGACTCTATCTCCTAGTGATGTCAAAAGCTACAACCGTAACTGGAATGCCTAAACATAAGTTGAACAAAGACAATAATAGACATGTCAAAGTGGATGGGGGAAATAAATCATGAGACCTCAACCCTATGAAAGAATTGTAGGCAACTGAGGAATGCAGAGAGCTGGACAAATAGTGTTTCCAGGGGAAGAACACACTAATTGGCTATCCAATAGCAAACGGTCAACTCTGGAAACACATACAAATAACATTATACAGGTTGAGCAGATTAGATCAGTAATATACATGCATATATGCATGTAACAACAATTAATGAAAAAGAGGTCATGGATTTCAAAGCGATCCAAGAGGGGCATGCAGGAGCATTTGGATGGAGGAAAGGGAAATGATGTAATTTTATTATAATGTCAAAAAGAAAAGAAAAATAATAAATATAAAGAAAAAAAAAAGAACTCATGAGTAGGGAAATGTTTCCTGGCTTCCTGCTCTGAATGGAATTGACCATCAGTGCAAAGAATATGTACAGACTTTGGAGCAACAAAGGATCAGTTTAGCTTTACCCTATGAGCTGACAGGTTTGGGACAATATTTTTCTAAAACTTAAACCAATTCATGTTACATTTCAGCTCAACATAGTCCCATTATATCCCATTTGAAAATACAAAATATCACAAGTCATTAACACAATAAAAGAGAATTAAAACCTATTAGTGAGGAACCTGTAGGATGATTCCATGGTTAGTGTTAACTATCTGATTGACAGGGTCCAGGATCACCCAATAGTTGTTTCTCTGGGCCTGCCTCTGAGGGATTGTCTTGATTGATGTAGAAAAACCCGTATTGTCCATGGGTAGGACCATTCCTGGGCAGGGACTCTGGTCTATATAAAGTGAAGTCAGCAAGCTGGGGCCGGGGGTTTTCTGTTCTATTCTTCCAAATGAGAGGGTAATGTGGCCATCTGCTTCAGGCTCTCACTGCTCTGGCTTCTCCTTCATGATGGACCTACCTTGAACTATGAGTTAAAGTCATTATTTCTTTCCTGAAGTTGCTTTTCTTATGGTATCTTGTCACACCAACAGAAAAAGGAACTAAAATAGATGACAAAGCTTCTTCAAAGTTCATTATAGGCAACTGACACATATGTGGCCAATGAAGTAGGTGTGTGTGTGTGTGTGTGTGTGTGTGTGTGTGTGTGTGTGTATGTGTGTGTGTATAGAGAAATGAGATCAACAAATTAGGACTGACTAAGGTTCTGATGTTAGCATAGGTCATTTGACATTTTACAGATTAAGATTGTTTTCAAAGTCATGAGAAGATAATTTGGGTTCTCTGTTATATAACATCATTATATAAAATTGAGAAGAATTATCAGTTCTTTGAATTGAAAAGATATCAATTCATGTGCCTACATGCTACATTGTACTGGACTTCTGAGCTATACTCCCAGTCCTGACTTTACCCTCAAAAGTATTTTATCAGAATGGTTAAGATCAAGAACACAAATGACAATAAATGCTGGTGAAAATGCAGAGAAAAGGAACCCTTGTCAGTGCTTGGTGGGTTTGCAAACTAGAACAACCACTCAGGTAATCAGTGTGGAAAGTTTTCAAAAACCTAAAAGTACACCCACCCTGCTCTACAACCCTTTGCCATATATGGAAAGGACACAATATTCTGCTACTTGCTTAGCCACGTTCATTGTTGTTCTATTCACAATAGCCAGAAAATGAGGACCAACTTATATGCCCTTTAATTAAAGAATGGAAAATGAAAATGTACATACATACAATGCAATACTATTCCACTGTAAAGTAAAATGAAATAATGAAACTTTTAGGTAAATGGATGGAATTAGAATGTACTATATTTGAAAAGCTACAAGGAGAAACCCTGTCTTGAACTACTCCCACAAAATGTACTATATTGAGTTTTGTAGTTCAGACCCAGATAGACAAACACTACATATTCTTCCTTATTTGCAGACCCTTGACCAAATCCTTATGTTTGCATATATAGTTAGGAGTAACTGCAGAAGACAGAAAAATAGAAAGGTGCCATGGGTGGTGGGGGAGAAGAAGCTCAAAGTGAGGATAAGACACAGATGCTGTGAAGGCAGAAGGGGGAAAGGGAGACAGGGGGGAGCTGAGAGTTAAATGGGCCAGGGGAAGGGAGGGTAATACAAGAGGGGGAGGAGGAGAAAAACAACACTAAGGAAGTTGGAAAAAGTCAATCACACACACACACACAAACACACACACGCATGCACACACACGCACACACACGCACAAACACACACATGCATGCACACACACGCACGCACACACACAAACACATACGCATGCACATACATGCACGCACACGCACACACACGCACGCACACACAAACACACGCACAAACACACGCATGCACGCACGCACACACACACACTCACACATACACACACACACACACACACAGAGTATGTGTGTATGTATCTAACATTTAAAATGAAGTTATACCTCGAGGGGATGACAATGCTTCCCCAGTAATCATAGACTAACAGAAACTTTCATACCAGTGTGGTGATTTGATTATGAATGGCTCCCATAAGCTCATAGGTTTGAATGCTTGGTCAACAGGGAGTGGCATTATTAGGAGATGTGGCTTTGTTAGAGGAAGTATGCCATTGGGGGTTGGCTTTGATGTTTCAAGTGCTCATGCCAGGCCCCGTGTTGCCTGACAACCTTCCTGTTGCCTGACAATGTAGATGTAGAACTTGTGGTTCCTTCTCCATCACTACATCTGCCTGCATGCTGCCATGCTTCTCACCCTGACAATAATGAACTAAACCTGTGAACTCGTAGGTCAACCCCAATTAAATGTTTCCCTTAAGAGTTGCCATGGTCATGGTGTCCCTTCACAACAATAAAAACCTTAAGACAGCCAGGTGTGGGAAATACCCTTCAATATGTTGTTCAGGGGAGTCCACAAATAATATAGACTACTTTCAATGTCTTTGGCTGCATCCCAGAGCTTGGAGGTAAGACCCTATTGCTGCAGACACAGGATTTGGAGGAACTGAGCTGTAACTGACCTAGAAGCTTCTCCCCTGAAGATTAGCTGCTGTACCATCAGAAGGTGTGATGTAAATTGACAGGAAGAAAAGCAATCAAAAGTCCCACCCAGATGTAAATCCTGCAAACCCCAACAATGACTGGAACAGAAAGATCTTCCCAATGATGGCACTTTAATCTTTGGAGTAACCAACAGCTGTCTGATCAGACTTAAGGCCTACTCAATAGGTGGGAATTCTTGGTACTGTAAACCTAGACCGTTTCCTGTGGTAGAGTGATCATAGACCTTAAAAGAGAACCCACTATTGCCATTCTCCCAAGTCAATATAGTTTCCCACCATGCTCTTAAAAATGTATTCTCATACACATAGATAAGTGTAGCTCTTGCTGCCTGACTAAAGGAGGTTCTCTTTTGGCAGTAGATAGATGGAGGCCACAATAGAGATTCACAACTGACCAAAAGCCAGAGAATAAGTGATGGTGGCAGTTGAACTTAAATTGACTGATATATATATATATATATATATATATATATATATGTATATATATATATATATATATATAACAACTCCTACAGTTCTGTGAACATCATAGAGTAGGACACATAGTGTATTCTAGCTATATCCATGGAATCTCAACAGTAGGTTGCCCAAACAAGACCTGCATAATGTCCACCCCATTTGATGTGCTAAAGGGGATGGAGGAAATCCGCAAGGTCCCACTCTTAGCTAAGAGAGAGAGAGAGATTAAATTTTCTCTAGGAACAAGTACCCTTTTAGGCTATCCAAACCCAAGTGGTCAGCCCTGAAGGTGTTCATCCGATCAACACTAAGTGCACTCAGTATGTTTTATAATGTGATGCAATATAATGTGTGTATATAAATGTAACAATAATAATTGAAGAAGTCTGTTGTGGGATATTTGTACACTGTGAAAACATATTGCTGTGATTGGTGTAGTAAAAGCTGAATGGCCAATAGCTAGGTTGGTGGGATTTCCCGGGACAGAGAGGACTCTGGGAAGGAGAGAAGAGCAAATCCCAGGCAGGTGGAAAGGAAACAGGATGTGCTAGAAGACAGACAGATAATGCCACCTGGCAGAACATAGGTTAATATAAATGGGTTGATTTGAGTATTAAGAGCTATTTGGTTCATGCCTAAGCTAAAGGCCAAGCTTTCATAATGAATAAGAAGCCTCCATGTTGCCATTTGGGGCTGGCAGCAGAAAAGGAAGTCCCTTTCCAGAGGTCATATATATATTCAAGCGAGTGGGACCGGAGAGGGGGAATGGAGGAGTGGAAATGTTAATATGTAATACCTACATATGCAATTCTTTTTAAAATTCATTTAAAACAGATTTATAAAGAAGGCAGTTACCACAGTCCAATAACCCTTTGCAGGCTTTGAGTCAGTCCTGTGTGCACACAAAAGTCCCCCGAAGAAACTACTTCTAGCAACCAGAAAGCTAAGAATATCATCAGGGCCAAAGCAGAGACTTCTGGGCTTCGCTGTAACCTACCCACTTACTGTTTGCGCCAAAGGTCTTACTTTTTGCCCTTCTTTATTCTGTTACTATAAAACTTCATGAAACTCTTACTGTGTTGGAATATGGAATTTGGGATAATCAGGAGGGCTTTGTTTGTTTGTTTTTTCTGCCTCACTTGACAGTTGTAACAGGTGTAGTTTCATGGTGCATTCTCTATCTTAACCAAATAAGCGCTTGTACGTAAAGCTGGCAAAGTATTTAAGACTTGCTTAATGAGAAATATATTTTCGTAAACTCCTTCCTTCCATGCCTGTTGGAGGGGGTTCTGTCATTTAACCAACTCCAGTTACTTAAAAATAATTTAATTTAATTCATTATTGTGAGTGTGTATGTGTGCTTGTGATGTGTTTGTATGAAGGCATGCACATATGCCACAATGAGTTCAGTAAGTTGATTCTTCCTGTCTTAGAACTGCAGGGTGGAATTCTCTTCCTCGGGCTTCGCTGGCCAGCATTTTTAACTGGTGAAGGCTCCCTCTGGACCCAATGGACTCGATTTTCTGGATCTCTGCACTCAGCACCCTGTATGACAGTTGTTTAAACTAGATCTCTTTAGGCTCCGCGAGCTGCTTTCTTGTCCACCTCTATGTACTTGGCCTCCTGCTTGGCTCTGATATCTTACAACTTCAACCAATGCTTCAGTAATTTACGGGGTGTTAGGTGGCAGCTGAGCCTTGTGCAAAAGCAAAAGACAGTGTCTGCGAAGGAAGCAAGTGAGAGTGGACCTTGCCACCCGCAGGTCTCTGTGGTTAAAGGGCCTACTTCAGAGGTGATTGATGTACATCGTGGGGTCCTAACAGAGTCGGACAAAAAGGCGTTGGCACAAACCTTACACCAACCTTTTGCTGTCAGCGGTCCTTTCCTTGCGGTTTAACTGTGCTTTCCATCAGGCTGGGGCAGGGTGAGCTGCCCACCTCACCCATAGAAACCAAGGTGAGAACGTCTCGAGAGCGTAATAAAACTTCAGGACTTCCCCAGGGATGGGCTCATTCGTATCCATCCCCAATCCACTGTATCCCCCAACCTCGGCGTCCTTTAAAACCCTCGCCAGAACTAAGGAAGACTAGACTAGAGGCCTCCTCCGGGGCCGGGGCCGGACACTCCGGGCAGTCTTCGCACCCGGCCCGCCCGCCGTCTCCGCGTCCCGCAGCGCGCCCCACAGACCTGGCGGGCTCCGAGCCCGCGAGCGCGCGCCCGTGCGGTGGGTCGGGGGCGCGCGGCGAGGGCGGCCCGGCACGTCCCCGCGCTCCGCCGGCTTGCGGCGCGTCCTTGTGCCGGCGTCAGCCGGTTTCCCCGGAGTCTGCACGCCGGTCCCGTCCCGGGGTGTGGACCGGCTCGGAGCCCGCCGTGCAGCCGGGCTTCGGACGGGCCTCGCGGAAGCCATGAGCCGCCGGCTCGGCAGGGTGGCGGCGCTGCTGCTCGGGCTGCTGGTGGAGGTAGGGCCGCCCGCTCTCCGCGCCTCCTGGAGTGGGGACGCGGGAAGGGCAGTTGCGGGGCTCGCGGATCTGCGGTGTGGGGTGGCCGAGGGGCCTGGAGCCGGGACCCCCGGCCCTGCCTGCGCCCGCCTGCGTGCCCAGCCGCTTGGTTGGGATGGGGAAGGGACCTTTGTGCGTGTCCACACCGGCTGCCCGCTGCACAGGGCCTGGGCCGGCACCACCCGCGGCTGGTAGGAGGGAGGGGGGCATTTCTGCTTTTGGAAAGGAAGTGGCGGCTTTTAGAGGCGAGGAGAAAATTCCTCGGGGAGCTTGGGTGGTGGGTGTACCGAGGTGAAGCCGCGCGAAGTTGATGGTGGGTGGAAGCGCCGCCCAAGCACAGCCAGGGTTAGACCGCGCTTGCCGGGGACTGAACCGCGACATCCTGTGACGCCAGACACCCTTCCTGCTCCCGCGGGTTCATTCAAAGGCGAAACAGTGGACTTCTGGTGTGTCACATCCGAATCGGGGTTTGCTTGCTCTCCCACGGCTTCACTGTTTGGAAGGAATTAATAAAGTCAGTGTAAGTGGGTAATGGCTGTCGCGGTCCTGTCTTCAAGACCCGTGGAGTCAGCAGTGCTGGGAAGACTTACTGGTTTTCTTGGAGGGAGAAAGTCCTAGTTCTTTAGAAAGGAAGGTTAGTGGAACAGTTTCTCCTTGCTCCAAGTTCCAAAACGGAGCAAAGATTGCTTGCTTTTCTTTGAAATATTTCTTATCGGGCATTTAATGTCTTGAGGTGTGCCACGTCTTAGAAATCTTAGAAACGTGATCCTCAGGGTGGTGATTCAACATTGCCGGTTGTGGAAAAGCCAACCAGAGACCATAGTTTACAAACATAAACATGTGTTTACCTTAACCCACCCCTGTCAAGTTTTGTAATCCAGTAATCTCGTGTGTGTGTGTGTGTGTGTGTGTGTGTGTGTGTGTTAACACTGCCTGATAAGATTATCTAGATCTAGGTTCTCTTGTTTCTGTTCCTACCAGTCCTGTGTGTCCTTCCTAGCTTCCTGTGTATCTAAGCTAAAAGGCTGCTGGGGTGGGGTGTTCTTGCTGTTTATTTTTCCTTTTCTTTTTGTATTCCAGTGATGTTATTGAGGAAACTAACAGGTGATTACTGCCAGGCATGCCAACAGCCAAGGGTTTCATCTTCAAGGGTTGGAAGTGGAAAAAACTGTTAGCTTTTGCGGTGGGGGGGGGGAACCAAAGTAACCTCAAACATGATGGTTAACCTATGATTGTTGCTTGTCATCAGTTTTTATTTTCAACGTTTTAATCTATTGCTTATGGTGGTGTTGTCTAGAATTGCAGGAATGGATTCTTTTTCCCCCCTTTTCCTCTGCTGATTTAAAGAATAAGAAGGCAGTAAAAACAAGGTCTTAGCACTTAGCCAAGTTTTATTGCAAGGGAAGGGAGAGAGAGGAGAGGAGAGTGGAGGGAGGGAAAGAGAAAGAGAGAGAGAGAGAGAGAGAGAGAGAGAGAGAGAGAGAGAGAGAGAGAGAATGAATACAAAGAGACAGTCTCCCAGTGGGGAGGGGTTGCAGACCTGAAAGCCAGAGTTTGTCTGGGAGAGCTAAAACTTTTATATTTGGGGATGGGTTGAGTTCCCCCTTTCTCTCCTAATTCGCAGGTTTGGGCTTGTGCAGGAGATTGGGTAATCCAGACAAAGAAACAGAAGCTGATTGGTTCCTACTGTAGGAGCCCCCATCCATCTGTGGGAGATTTGAAAGCTGACTACTTAGTCTTGGTGAGGGAGAAGGAACAGAAGTCAGTTGTTTTCAAGGGTCTAGTGAAAAGTATACTAATCCACCTAGAACCTCTTTTCCCTGTCTGTCTGCCTGCTGGGCATCTGTCTGTCTAGCGCCTATTACTTTAGTGTAGAAGGTTTTGTCCTATCCAGTAAGCTGTTTTTTGTTTGTTTGTTTTTTCAAGTGTTAAGAGTGGAACCCAGGACCTCAGTGCCTTGAACACAGTAGTCGAACTCGGCACTCTACCTTTGAGCTGCATTCCTGTTCATTTTATTTATTTTTTTCTTAGCTGCTGGAGACTGAACCTAGGGCTTCTTACTCATACTAAACAAGTACTCTATCCAGCCATAGTCCCTGTTTGTCCTGTATCACCTGCTGATCTGTACAGGGACAGGGGCAGTGTGTTTGAGGAGGCAGAGGGTTCCTCCTGAGGACATTAAAACATTTCACGGCTCCAGTTTCTGACTGTTGACTGGCTGACTGTTTTTGTTCCTTTAGCTGATTGAGATGGTTTCAACTGTACACTTGTTTTGTAGTTGACTTTGGATATGTTTTGTGGCAGTGGCTATCCTGTTTCTGCCTTCTGGCAACCTTTTGTCAATGAATGCTCTCAAGGACTCAAGATTATCAGGCATAGGAGTTTTATTAGCCAGATGTCATTGAAGAGAGTCTTAACAGTTTGAAGGGGGCTTTCCTGTCCCATCCTGACATCCTAAACAAATTTGTATTTTTGTTTAGTGACCGTTTATAGAATAACCTACTCTGTGGCCAAGCCCTGCTCTGAGCACTTTACTAATGCTAGTTCATGATTCATCCTGACAATTATCCTCATGCCCATGGTTCTTTCAAGTGGGAGATCTTGTATAATTTGTCCCAGGTTTCGCTGTTGTTAAGTGAGGGGGTTGAGATGTAAATTCAGGCACCTGGTTCCACTCCCCTTCTCCACCCCCCCCCCCGCCCCCAAGTCTGCTTACGTGGGGACACGGAGGGAAGGAACATACGCCTTGCATTAGCCCAGAGAGATTTGCAGAGGTGTGCATTCCAAGATGTGGGCAAGCCACCAAAACTCCTCCAGAAACAGAAGTCAGTCCTCCTTAGAGGGATAATCTAATTTAGCACTTCAATGTGACATTTCAGAGGGGGAAGCTGGATGTGTACTGGATAGTAGGTATCAGCATGAATATCCCAGAAATCCTGGCTGTTCCACTGGACTCCTCGGTCAGGATTTAAACAGGAAGAGGCAGCATCTTCCTACTCCATGGAGGCATCTTGAAGCTCATTTCTTGACCCCCCCCCCCCATTTAGTTTCCTGTAAATTACATGACCAACTGTGGAACTCCCTGTCTTATTGTCCCCAAACCTTCCACTCACTGTCTGACACCTAGTTAAATACCAGGTTAAACACAGGTCAGACATGAACCATACTCTGTAGGTTGGGCCCAGACTGGTCCCCTCGAACGGGAGGCTCTAAAAGCCCCCTTTGAGTCCTCAGATTTTAAGGTTTGATGCTTCAGTTTGGCTGGCTGGCTCACAAGAGCTCCTTGTAGAAAAAGAGAACAGGGATCCAGCTCCTGTCACTGCTGCTGGGATAATTCCTAGTGGCCTTCACTGGGCCACAGTAAACTGCAGAAACAACTAAAAAGCTGACTGCACCCTGTGTGAGTCGGGAGTAGTTAGACCCCAATTGTGGAGGCCCATAGCTCATTGTTTCAGTGCGGTCTCTTTCTAGGAGTTAATTTGGTGACACTTTTGAAATATATTTAGTCTTTCTTAGAAGGGCTCTATCCTAGAAGGGCTCTATCCTTCCTGAGATGTATACTTTAAAATTTTACTTGTGTGTGTGTGTGTGTGTGTGTGTATGTATATATATATAAATTTTTACTAACATTTTGGCTGTGTTATGCATGCCCTTGTACATGCCAGCAAAGGCTATGCTTCTAAGCCTCATCAACATCCCCGTCTTTGAGTATTATTTAATATGAGTCACCAGTGCAAGTCTGTAAGTTCATCTGTGTTTGTTCACAGGGCATGAACTCACTTTGTAGGTGGGGCCAGCCTCAGTATCTTCCTGGTCCGTCCCTGGCACCAAAGCTGTTCACTAAACGAGGCTGCCTTTTGCTTCAAGGCTGTTCTCCAAAAAGACAGCTGTTCTTGGCTGGGAAGAAAAAGTGGTCATCCCTGGGTGAGAGAAGGTGAGGAAGTGAATGTTGCCTTTTGAAATTAGGAAAATAAGAGGACCAGTGGGTGTTTTTTCTTCTTCTTCTTCTGTAGTTCTATGTGTTTTGATCCTCCGGAATCTCAAAATTAGAACTTTATTGTTTGAGAGTAAAGGATTTTTGTTGTTTGTCAAATGTTTCTTGCCCTGGAATTCCAATCTGTGTGATTTCTAAAATAAACCTTTCAAATGTCTTACTTCAAAGAACATTTAAAATCTGAGCAACAATTCAACTTGAGTGGAAAAGGCTTCTGGTTTACCTCTAGAAGCTCCAGGGAGGGCTGGGTGGGTTCCAGGAGAGAGAGGAATGGCATTGTTCTGAAATGGGGAATGGCTGTGGCCACATGCCAGGGCTGGGGCTCTACTAGGCTAACAGCAAGGATAGGGTTCTAGTCATGGCTGCTGCTTAATTGGGTCCATGGGACCTAAAGTTCCTAGCACTCATTGCGTTCTCTCTATGCAGCCTCTCAAATGTCTCCTCCTTAGTGTAGCTATCTTGACCAACCTAATAACTACCACCCCAGGTGCCCTCCTAACTACCTTTGTCTTCCTGGGAATCCCTTTCCTTCCTGGTATATATCAGCTTCAAAGTATGATGGAATTTATCATCTACCATACAAGTAAAGAGACAAACATTTTACTATCATTTATTAACTGGAATATCATAGGAGACTGGGGATGCATGTCAGTGGTAAAGTGTTAATTAGTGTTGCTTATGTACAGCGTGGAGGTCTATTCTAGTGCCATCAGTACACACACGCATACATGCATGCATACAGTGCCTGCCTGACACATCATACAAACAGTGAATATTTGAGGGGGTAAGCAGATAAATGGCAGGAGCTGGCAGGAAGGAAAATGCTCTGAAGAGGGGGCGCCTGTGCAATGTTCATGAAATTTGTTGAACTTGTAAGATACATTGGTTCATACTGAGGGCTACCCATCGTCATCCTAGTTATTTGTTCTAGTCAGTCCCGTTTCCCTTTCAACTTCCTTAGTCTTTT